TCCCTTATGGACTTCCCCCCTCAGAAAGGATTTGGAGTGAGAGTATCTTCTCATCTTCTTTCAAAACACACTTGTTCTTTACAATTTTGTAGAATTCTTTTTTTGGTGGTTCTTTCCATTTATATTTTTGTAGTATTTTAGTATATTCGTGGCTCTGCTTACTTTGCTCTTTATCAGTTCATACATTCGTGTTCCCTGCCTCTTTGTATCTCTTACATTCATCATTTCTTACAGCACAGTGATATTCCATTACATTCCTGTACCACAATTTGTTTAGCTATTTCCCAGTTGATGGGCATCTAAGAAGACCTGGGTTTGGAATCACTGCCCTGCTACCTGCTTCCTCTGACTTTGAGGAAATCATTGCATCCCCGTTTCCACATCAGGAGAAAATGAGGAGGTTGGACGAGATTCTCTTCATTATCTTTCCCATTTCCAAATCTCATTATAGTGATTAGGAGCATCCTTATCCTTGCTATTTGTGTAGCAAATTACTTGTGAGCAAAAACTTGTGGTCTGGCTTCTGTGATCACATTTTTGGGGTGGGGGAGGGAGGAAAGAGGAAACGAGGGTGCTGGTTTTAAGAACAGCCGCTCTGAGGCAACAACAGGAGGAAATAAGCAGATAATGAGCCAGCGGGCTGGCGGATCTCTGTGCGCAGAGAGCAGGCTCAGGCATCAGGTGGGGCAGGAGCCTAGCTGCCTTTAGCTAGCTCGGGTTTAGGAGCCAATGGAGTTTAGAAAGCAGTTAACAGGATAGCCTTGGACCCAGGGCAAAGTCCCTTGGGTCAGCTCCAAGGACGTGCTTAATTCATGTCCCTGGAAACTAAGACGTCCTCTGTCTTTGGCTCTAAGGCAGCTGATAAATGTGGAGTATAACTGAATTAATGGGAAGAACACTGGCAATGAGTCAGCAGGCCTAAGAGTAAAGCCTTTCCTGCTCCACTTGCTAGCTGTGTGACTTTGGAAAAATCATTCAGTCTCTCTGAACCTCGTGTCCATCATCAGTAAAACTGGGATTGAATCACTAGGCTACTTGGCTCCCACCATAAAATCCCAAAGGCCTGCACTTCTGGTCCTCACTCGCATCGGATTGAGCCAAGTTCTGGGATGGGGCGGGGAGGCGGGTCCTACCCACCCCACCTACATCAACCTAAGTACAGATGGGGCGGGGGGAGGGGGGTGGAGTGTGCGCATGCGAACAGCGGGAAACCCGGAGGGGAAGAAGTGGGGTATGCACCGGCAGCCCGAGGCTTTCTTCGTACATGCGCAGTATCGGCGATGTCTTGGTCTCCGAGCCGACAGGGGGCGCAGTGCACAATTCCCTTCCCCGGCCCCGCCTCCTTTGGTGGCGGTTGGAATTTGAATCCTGGCCGGTCTGGGTACCTGTGGCATTTGGAGTGGAGGGGTGAGCTCGCGCTTGACGTGGGCGCGTGCAGGAGCGGGGAGGTTGGGGTCTCTTCTTCCCGGTGACCAAGCGCCCCCTCCCTGGGGGTGGGGGAGGAGGGTTGTTACAGTTTCCATCGTGATCCTGTCCGGTCCAACCCCGCCCCCCTATGTGGAGCCCGGGGCCGCGGTGCCCGGTGCGGGAGCAACGGGCCCGCTGGGAGAGGAAGCGAGGCCGCACGGCCCTGGAGCTGCTGGAGACGGAGCATCGCTACGAGGAGCAGCTGGGGCTGGTGGCGCAGGTGCGCGGGGGCCCGGGGGCGGGGCGAGG